TTTTTTTTTTTTTTTTATTCTGTTAGATTCACATCCAGGAAAAATACAACAATAACATATACTTGTTTTTGGCAGAAGTTTGGCATTTTTCTATCCATATTAAAAAAATAGGTAAACATAAATAAAAGCCACTTTTGAAAGCTATGACAAAACAAAAAGTATTAAAATTAAATTCAATAAAAATGACATGGCAACAATTCTTTTTTTGAGTCAATAAAATTGAAGTGTAAGAGACTACTCTGGTTCTGACCTGAACAGTTTTTTTCTAGGTATAACTTACTTGCAAACATATTGCTAAATATACATTATAATTATACATTATGTATACAATGTATAATTATACATTATACATATATATATATATACAATATAACACACTGCTAAATATACATTACCATTCTTCTACAGCTCATCACAAACCTCTTATTAAATCAATTGAGATCATTGCATTCACATTCCCAGGCACTACTTCATATGGTTCTAGTTGTGATGGACACATTTTATTATTTGTCTTTGAAGTAGAGCCATACAGTGAAACCTGATGAAATTCCTGTATGCAGGAACAGTAAAAGCCATTACCTAGGTCAGCAGTCACATGCTTTGCTTGTGACTATGCACTAGAAATACACTGTATTTATGGAGATTTATAAAATAACGCTAAAGACTCATTAGAACAACTTGTGATCTGACGAACAGCCCTTAGTTTTTGGTGAAGTGCTTTAATGCATGAGCATCTTCAGCAAAGGGCAAAGCTCCATTATGACAGAAGGAAATGAAGATCAAAATATATGGACATAAAAGAAGGTGGCTGAAGCATGTCTATTTAATGGACTTTCATAATCCCCATCTTAGCAGAGAAAAATAATCTTCACTTCACAATCACAACTTATTTAAGTGTTAGGGAGTTATCTCTAGATCTATCTGTGTCTGTGACAGGGACAACAGCCCCACAGGCCCACCAGCCCAAAAAGGGGAGGAAAGGGGAGGAAAGGGGAGAGGGGGTGTCGGTGGTTTACAGGCTGCTTCAGCCCAGTACTGTGACTAATGGGGCTGGGGACCCCCTGGAAAAGGGGAAAGGGGGAAGGGTAGTGAAATGGGAGATGGGCCTAAAAACAGAACAGCAAAAACAATCTGAGGAGGAAAGTTAATTTACTAAATATGATATTGGAATGCAAGATAACACACTATAACATAATATATAATTGGAATTGAGGCTAATAAATTAAATAAAATAAGAAAGAGTGTGTCCAAAAGCAAAGGCCTTTGGGGGTGAAACAGCTGGGAAGCACACCCACACAGTGCCAGGCAGCAAGAGACCTGCAGGTCTTATCTGCCTCTCTGAACATTAAGTCTCTTGGGATATGTTCTTCTTCTCTTCTGAGGACCACGTATCCGGAAAGTTGTCAGCCCACACAACTGGAATATTAACTCTTTAATTCCCCAAGCTTTACATGATGTTCTGATATGTAATATCGATAGCAAAAATCATAAAACCATGGCATTCCATCCCTTATTCCACATCAGTATATCATGCTTTATATATATATATATATATATATATACAAACAAACAATAATTAAAATCCATTACACATATATATCTATATACATACGTGGAATTACTGACTGCACTCCCCCGGTATCAAATCCCCTTGTGGTACACACTGAACATCCCCATCTTTCTGCATCACCCACCAAGTGGACCCAGGTCCCTGAGCAAAAATAATTCCACTGAGAGGTTTGCCCTTTCCAGAAGCTGGAAAGACCCAAACTGCTTTTCCCAACATGTCCTTTACATGTACTACAGGGACCTTATATCCCTTGACAATATGTAGGGAGATGGACTGGGTAAGATCTCTCTTGATTGATCCCCTGGTGTTGACCGAACAGGTGGCTTCTGCCAAATGTTTCTCCAGTGCTTAAATGTTCTGCCACCCATTCCTTTCAACAAAGTCTTTAACAACCCATTGTATTATTCAAGATTACCAGAAGCTGGCACATGATAAGGGATATGGTAAATCCACTCAATGCCGTGATCTTTGCCCCAAGTATTTACAAGGGAATTTTTGAAATGAGACCCATTATCTGACTCAATTCTTTCTGGAGTGCCATGTTTCCATAGGACTTGCTTCTCGAGACCTAATATGGTTTTTTGGGCAGAACCATGGGGTGCAAGATATGTTTCAAGCCACCCAGTGGTTACCTCCATCATGGTAAGCACATAATGCATACCATTGTAAGATCGTGACACATGTCATGATCAAGGTGATATAGTCAACCTGCCATGCCTCCCAGTATTTTTACTTTTGCTAATGACCTTCCCCCCCAGAGAGGTTTCATTCTCTTGGCTTGTTTAACTGTGGTGCATGTGTCACAGTCATGAATAACCTGTGCAATAATGTCCATAGTTATGTCCACCCCTCGGTCTCTAGCCCACTTATATGTTGCATTTCTTCCTTGATGGCCAGAGGACTCATGCGCCTACTGAGCTAGAAATAATTCACCCTTGTTCTGCCAGTCCAAGTCTATCTGAGCCACCTCAATTCTGGCAGCTCGACCTACCTGATGGTTATTTTGCTGTTCTTCAGTAGCCCGATTCTTGGACACATGAGAATCTACATTACGCACCTTTACAACCATATTCTTTATTTGGGCAGCAATGTCTTTCCACAGTTCAGCAGCCCAACTAGTTTTACCCCTCTGTTGCCAGTTGTTTTGTTCCCACTGCCATAACCACCCGCATAAGGCATTTGCCACCATTAATGAGTCAGTATAAAGAAAAATCATTGGCCACTTCTCCCATTCAGCAACATCTAAGGCCAGCTGGACAGCCTTTACGTCTGCAAATTGACTTGATTGTCCTTTTCCTTCAGTGACCTCTGCAACTTGTCTTGTGGTGCTCCCCACAGCAGCTTTCCATCTGCGATTCTTCTCCACAATAAGACATGATCCATCTGTGAACAGGGCAAATTTCATTCTCTGGTAACCACAGGTGTTCAAGAGTGAAATCCCATGACACCAGGGTTCCTCACGCTTCTAATATTTTTCCTAAACTTTTCCGTATTCCCTGCCACTCAACATTCTCTGGTTTTAGGGAAGGCTTCTTCCAGGTAATGTAAATGAAGAGGAATACAAGGGGAATTGATAACATTAACCCAGAATTCCAAAAATGCATAAGGAACTGAGAAGAGAACCTGGATACCGGTATAAACATTGAATTGTTTATAAAATTAGTTGCTCCCTCTGAGATGTAACTGTCAATGTTCAAATCATACAACATTGTATATAGGTACCAGGCATGTGTCTCCATCAGTGCCCTTACTTGGTTATATACATATAAAGCTCCAAAACAGAACATGATCAACTTAATAAGAAACTAATACATCCAAAAAAAACATAATGCCCTTTAGCCCTTTATACAGCACTCCTAAAATAAAGAACAAATCCATGGCTGGCAGTTGCTAGAAGGAGAAAAAAAAACAAACTCAGAACAGTGTCCAGAGTCTGGCAGACTGCCTAGACTAAAATCTAATCTATGAAGGTCAAAGCTATCTACAGCACTCTGCAAATCTCTGACTTTAAGAAATCCTTTTCTTTTTTTTTTTTTTTTTTTTTTTTCTGCTAATGTAAAAAGTTCAGATTTGGTTCAGACTGCCTGCATTCTCCACGAATAATTGTCATGGAGTTATCCCTAGATCTGTGTCCATGACAAGGGGAAAAAGATAATAAAACCATGACATCATGTCATCACTTTTTGGCACTATGCACATTTTGAGCAATTATTGTCAAGAATGAAATACAGGAAGAGTAAAATTTCATCAAAAATCTCTTATAAACACCTTGAGACCTCACAATAATTGCAACCACTGCCATCAAACCAGATTGGGTTATTAGTTTCACAAAAACAAGGTCAAATATCCCACTAGTTTTACGTTCTTGTTCCTCCCCCTCTTTTATTTTTCAGTGTTTTAAGAAAAATATTTAAAATGTTATGTTATTAATATAGTAACGGTATTGTATATTTTGTGAGGGATGCTCCAAAAATAATGCCTCCTGTTTTATGTTGACCCATAATACCAGAGGTGGATATTGGTATTATGGCAGTAGAAGTTAAGCCTTCCCACCAATATTCCATTACATTTTGTTGCTGTGTGGCAGATGGCAGCAGAGGGGCAGTCTGACAAAATGATGTCTGACATGGAAGTGTGTATGAAGCAAAGTGAATTCCTCCATGTGGAAAAAACTGCACCCACTGACATTTATCAACATTTTCTTAATTGTTATTGAGATTAAATAGTGAATGTGAGTACAGTAAGGTGGTGGGTGGTGTGTTTCAGCAGTGTGACAGTTGGTCAGACTGTTATGAATGCAGCATGCAGGCTCTTGATCATTTCTGGTGAAAATACATAGCTAATGGTGGTGACTTATGTTGAAAAAATATTGTTTTGTAGCTAAGAATTTGCTCTATCAAATAATGATATTGTGCTCTTTGTATCTGTTGTTGTTTCCACTGAAATAAATAGGAGGATTACTTTTGGAATTACCTACGTATGTGTAGCCAAGAAAATTTCTATTCACGAAATGCAGCCCAGACAAGCCAAAAGGTTGGACACCCATGGCTTACAGCTTTCTTTGCAGTAATGAACAATTAAATTTCATTAACAACAGTTACAGCTGTGAAATATGCACAGCCTCCAGTTCAGCCCCACGTCTCACTGAGGTCAGGACTGAAAGTCCCAGTAGTCCCAATGCACAATACCTTGGACAACCACCCCACTGGGCAATCCCAAAAATCACATCTAAAATAAAAAGCATGACAGAAGGGTCAGAAGGAGAAAGAAGCTGTACACACAATGTTACATCAGTGTGCTGTGTGTAATTGGAGTCTCTGCAGAGGCTGCCAGCTGTCACTGTCAGATAGCAGATCTTCCCAGCGTACCATGCCCTGTGTAAACCATAAGCAGGTGTTGAAGGAGAATAAACTAGATGCTGCAAGGATATATATTTAAACCAGTCTTACATATGCTTAGTTCTACAGTGTATACTACTTTAAGTACTACCACACATTTTCAACCCCACTGTGAACAGCAGAAGCATCACAGTTTCAGGTTAGGATCTTTCATGTTTAATCCAGGAGTGCTTAAACTGAGCCTTACTGTAAAATATAGCTGTTAAACTGAATTGCATGTCTTATGACTATCTCAAGGTTATTTAAGATTTCTGCCATCAAATGATAGTTTTAAATCTATCAGAATGATCAGATTACTTACAGTACCTTGGGAACACAACTTGATTCCATATTTTATGTGGCCACACAGTGAGATAGATCATGATATTTTGAGGTTTGGAGAACTTTTATGTAGGAACAAATAAGCATAAACTTTTCCAGAACCAGATTTAGCAAAGTTCTGGAAAGAATCATCAACAAAATCTACAGTAATTTCACCCATCTTCTTATCTGTTCTGTGCTCAGATACTTGGAATAAAGACAGCAGACTTATTCCTGAGTCAACCTATATCACAACATAGCTTGTAAAATGTACATCTTGTTTCATACATTTTGTGATAACACTTCTGCTTTGAATTTTGTGAAAGATATGATGGCTCCAAGTACTAAAAGAGGATAAAAGAATATTTCCTTTTAAATAAAGATAGCGTATTAGTTTCCCAGAAGTTAGATGGGAAAAAGGTACCAATCTATGGCAACTTCTTTATATATCAAAAGATATTAAGTGATGAAGGATTTTTTTTTAATGAGTGGTGATGTTTTTGAGCATTGCTTCCAACTATTCTTCAAATGCAGTACTTATTTGCTATATTCATAGTATTTATTCATCTTTTTTTAATCCCTTATAAATGTTCACAAAGGTGTCTCCTTAAGTAAGATCACACATAGTTTGTATTTTCCTTTAATGATATTGTTCCAGATAGAAAAGCCTATCCAGTATTACAATATCAGCGAATGAATGATTGTCATAGAAAACTAGTCCAGTGATTCTCAATAGACCAAGAAGACTATACTCTATAAATTATAGGCAATTGTGCAGTGATTCCCATAGGGGCCTGTCAAAATCAGCCTTCACTATGAGAATGACAACCTTGAATTACGTTTTCAATGTTAAAAGATAGGCAGAATTTATCATAATGCAAAATAGTAGCAATGTTTTTTCTAGTTAAAGTATTAACTCTGGTAAAAGTAGTTTTATTTTCTTTCCAGAGTATTTTAAAATGAGATTTTGTCTCAGATTGCTTTGAAAACTTTGTGGAGCAGCACCTCTTGAGAGCTATATGTCAGGTGACTTGTTTCCCACCATAAGTCAAGCCCCCCAGTTAATTTTTTTCCCATAAGTCATCCCTATTAGGCAACTCTCATGAAGGACAGTGGTTGAAGAAGATTATATTATACTGCTTTGTCCAATGATATTTCAAATATTTCATGTTCAAAAATCATCTTCATTCCTTTGCGAGGTTATTCCAAATCTACTGGAATTTGCTGGTCAGAACTTCTGCATTTCCTTTTCATTGACAGTGTTTGCTAATGGTGCCTCCTAAATCTCTCCTCCTTGTATCTCCTTCTGTGGAACATTATCTACTGCAAGACCTCTCTGAGATTAAATCTGAAGTGTGGTTCTGCTGATCTGTGGTATTAGTATGGAATGTAGGTATATATATTCTTTGTGACCTGAAAGAAATCTTTCCTTAACTGTGTGAATCCAGGCATCCAGGATTCATAGCAAAGTATAATCTCCATTATCCTTTTCGTTATCATTGGAAAACAGTGAGGCTTTTAACTTAAATACTAGGAAAGATTTTAAATAATGCAGCAGTAGTAACATGTGCATATTAGTACTGCTCAGGTCAACAGTAATATGTTTCAAACAAGAAGTGTCAGCGCATTCAATTTGACTTTCCCTTTGTTGTTGACTCTTTTTTTGTTGTTGTCTTCTTTTTTTTCTTTTTTTTTTTTTTCTTTTATTCTTATTTTCAAGATGTTGGAGCATTTTTTGAAGAAGGAATGTGGCTTCGTTACAACTTCCATTCCCCAGGGACTAGCATGAAGGATTTAGTTAGCCGAACACTGTTGAGTTCTACAGATCCTGAGATTACAGCGACCAACCATAACTTGAATAAAGAAGAACTCAGCTTCAGCTTCAGTACCACCAAGTCCCCTTGTGTCCTTTTGTATATCAGTTCCTATACCCAGGACTTCATGGCAGTGCTTGTCAAGCCATCCGGTAAGCAACTGCTTTGGATTCTTTCCACTGAAGGAACAATTGATAATAACATCAGTTTGACATCCAGTTGAACTCTGAACTAATGAGAAATTATCTTCACCCTTGTCATTTAAAAGTAAAATACACAAGACCTGAATACTGATTCTGCTTTACTAGATTTTGTCTGATGTAACTCTTCATTTTTGAGGTGTTTCATTAGCCGAAGCTTCCAACACTTCTTCTCAAAGCAAACAAACAAAAACAATAAATCATTTCTAAAAAAAATTCTTGTAACAGCTAGATCCATGCCATAAAATAGCATTATGAAGGTGATAAGTAGGCAACAACATGTAGGCACTGAAATAAATGATTCATAATCAATGGCAACATCCCCTGTAGTCAATAGTAAGTGTTATTACCATACGACAGTTAATCAGGAAACTCTAAGACTCAAGTTGGAGGGTTAGACATTTAATAGCAGTGTTGGATTCATGGGGGTAATCCTTCCATCATGCATACTTTATATAAATGATCTTCAGCATATATGCATAACTTGTGTTACACATGCAGAAGTTTTCCAGGAGTCATATTACATATGCAGAAGTTACTCAGAGTTATATTACATATGCAAGTTTCCCAGAAGTATGTTACATATTTGGTGACCAGTTCCAAGCAGGATCTATCTCCTATTTCCTTGGTAAAAAGATTCAGCAGAGCTTCCTTATCTCCTTGGTTCAGAGACACAGCTCTTTCTGCTACCTAAATGAACTGCAGGGCAGGGATATCCATCAGCAAACACTAGCAAGCTTAATAATATCGTTACCACATGTATCAGTGTAATGCACTATTTTTCTGAAAATCCAACTATGAATGAGGTGACTAAATGTGGATGTAGCATAAAATACGTTATAAAAAATTTGGTGATTATTGGATATTGGAGATAGACCATTTACTGGTGGAATATAAAAAGATAATATATCTCAATTCCAAATGGTGCCTTTGTGACCCCCCAAAATTATGTAGTTTTAAAGGCCTTGAGATACTTTCCAGGCCCAGAACATTTCAGGTTTTTATCAATAATGAGGCCTACTTTTCCATTTTCAAAAATCCTTCCTTTTAAAGGAATGTTAAAATCTGCTATGAAGAGTAGACAGTTATTTGGAAAATAACACTGGCAGCATATCAGTTTAGAACTTTTGATTACTCTTTTCTAACAGTATAACCTGAAGTTTTCATTCTACCACATACTATTAAATTTCCATAAAATCCAGATGGTCATATGTCAACCAAAGTAAAAGATGAGAGCAAGGAAATCAAATCCTCTGTGTTGATTGAAAGCCAGCGTAAATTTGTTGCAATTTCACTTTATTCAAGGCATATCATTTTATTCTTTAAAAAAAACTCATACTTTATATAACTTCAAATAATTTTAGTACAGCAGGGATTATAATCTCAACAACAGCATGCTACTTGATGTGCTCAAATTTGAAATAATTATCTGAGTTGTTCAAGGCATAGCTCTGATTTGTTCAGTTTGCAATGCAGAGAATGTACAAACACTGGTTTTGAGATGCTGATCATTGTCATGCTTCTGGGTTGTAAACTGAAAGCTGTTTTCAGTCCAATAGCTGAACAATCTAAAATACTAGCCCTTTTTAAAATTCTCTTGCAGCAGATAGCAGCCATGAGCAATTTAAATGTTAAGTAACAGTGGTACGAGGAAATAAAGAGGGGAAAATAACTGGTGAATAAATATTGACGTATCTGAAGGTACTTTTCACATTCCTTTCATTAGGGAATCTGCAAATTCGGTACAGCCTAGGAGGTACCAAGGAGCCATATAACATTGATGTTGACCACAGAAACATGGCAAACGGACAGCCCCATACTGTTAACATCACACGGAATGAACGGGACATCATACTACAGGTAAGCAGACAATAAATGTGTTTTGGTTCCATCTAGTTTATTGCTTGTAGCTTGTAACATTTTGTAATTTGATGACGTCCTTTCCCCTGAGGATATCAGTGCAATTTGGGAAATAAAAATACAGTAGATGGTATTCTGCTTGGAAATCTCAGTCCTAGGACTTAACAAAAGCTATTCTCTCTATTGCATTGAGTCATATTTGTTCAAATCCTTGCTCTAGCGTGATGACAGCTGGGATAAAACATATGTGATTGTAGATGCTCAAGGACATCAGAAACATCTGAGTGGGAAATAGCCTGAGGCTTAGGATAAACCTGCACTATTCTGGAACAGTAGCTGAAAACCACGAGGGATAACCTACAGCATTTTAAATGGCAGTAGATGCTGACATACAAATAAATATCATGCCTTAAGACCTGCGTCTGCAAATAAGAATGTCTTAAAATTTAAATTTACCCTGCTGTTCAGTGAAATAGAAGAGCTGTTCACACAAGGAAAGATGAGCAGATTATTCAGTGTTTATGTGGCAGGAGTCTAAGACAGGAGAGTATTATTGATGGCACCTGTACTTCTGGCCTACTTAGTTTTCAGTACCACACTGACAGGAACTTTTTCTCTTTGTATCTTAGTTCACAAATCTTAGAGATAATATCATAGAATTTAAATAACTGAGGAGAGCTTTGCAAGAAGAAATCAATATTTCTAGTCAGCCTTTTCTGTGTAGTCATTACAGAACTCTGTTTTCATTCCCTGGCTGTCCCATCTACAAACATGGAGACTGCAGCAGGGTATGAGAACAGTTTTATTGGCAGGAGAGTCAGATAGTTTGGATGGATTAATATGGATTTGATAGTTCATAAGAATGAAATAAAAAACCAGTAACAAATGAAATATAAATAGAGGAAGTCTCCTTGGGAACCAAGCCAGAAGTGTAGCTATCGCAGTATAATCTACCTACAGATTAAAATAGATCCCTGAAAGCTGTTTTTTCCAGGCACTAAAATGAAACCTTTTCAATGGATTACAATGTCATTTGGCTGAGGCTGTCAACTAAAATTAACACTAATAAAATAACATATATACTGAAAAATATATTGGTGATATTTATAACAGCTTTTCAGATTTTAGGAGTCCAGGGGCTGTACTTTGATATATGCATCTTCCTCGCATGCTGAAGCATTTCAATTTTCTTCTCTCTCTCTCTCTCTCTCTCTCACTGCTAAATGGAAAATAAAGAGCAATAAGGCTGCCTTCTGTTATTAAAGGCTTAAATTTGGGAGATATGTGGCTGATTTAGACAGTTGCAAGACTAAATAAATTATTGATGGCTGATGGTTGGACCAGATGATCTTAGGGGTCTTTTTCAACTTTAATGATTTTATGATTTGCTGAAGAAATCAGATGAAATCAGTCAGAAAACACATATTCAGTTAAGTATACCTGTCTTGCATCATCCCACCTACATTTAAATTCTAAAGATTTTTCGTCTCAGTTTATGATGAGGCAGTTGTCACCTAGGGCTTTCATGAGCAAAAAATGTTTTATTTAGTGTTTCTTCGCTGAGGTAAACATCTCTCAATCAGTCTGCTTAGAACACAGCTGTTTTATATGATTGGGAAGAAGATCCATTTCAATCTTATTAAACTAGACTCCATTTGATGCATATACAAGAATAGGGAAAGTAGGGAACCCATATAAAAAAAAATCCAGAAATAACACCCTTGTTATATCCTGAAAAAGCTTTCTATCCAGTTCTGTTTTTTTTCCATAAGAGGTTGATTTTGTTACTTACCTGGTTACATAATTGAGACGGGAACAAAGATGGATCTGTTAAGTAGACTGTTCACTTGAAAATGAGTACCACTTTCAAATATAAAATATATATAATAGCAATATAATTTTTCTCAGCTATCAGGAGGACAGATCATGAAGTATGGCTTTTCTCTTGCAGATCTAAGCAATGAACATTTAAGTAGACTTCTATTTCCTGCTAAATTCTTCTCCAAACTGAAGAGCAGTTGATTTGCTTACTTTTAAAGAAGACAGTTTGCTTGCTGGTGCTGTTACTCACACTTCCACATTGTGTAAAAATGTCACAAGAATGATTTATTTCTCATCAAATCTTGAAACCAAGAGCACTCAGTATTTCTGCAGTCGCAATAGCAAGCTCATGCTTAAAATATGTCTTTTTAACTTGCTATAATATCCTCGTAGTGACAGAGAGATTTAAAAAATCTGCAGTGAGGCAATAAATTGCTACCATAATGAACTATGTGAACCAGACTTTTTTCATGATTCTCATTGTAAAAAAAACTTATTATTCAACATACAAGACTTCATCCAGTGCTGGAAGCTAGGAGATTTTATGATGATGATTATTATTTAAAGTCAGAGTTACTCTCTGGTCAGTTGAACTTTGAGTTTGCCATCTGAAATCTGGGAAGAAAACTAACTCCAAACTGATGTTAGAATGTGGCATTCCTTTATTTCTCACTATACATACCAAGCGACTCAATAAATCAAGCGCGTGTGTGCTCCTACAGTTCATGTTCTACATTTAAACAGTTAAGTCATACATACTCAATACATCGATATACATATTCTTTTTTTTTCAAAGAACTCATGAATATTTGCTAATGCCCCTCTGAGCATGTGAGGTTGCATCTAAGGTGGTTATACAACCACCCACTTCCTCCTTTTTATTTCTCCATCAGCTTCATCACAGTGACTTCTGGCCAACCTTTAGCTGTTTTTTAACAATTAGTCAAATTTCCATTTCTTGTTATGCAACTTTCTTTCTTGGTGTACTATCACTCAAAACAGTTTATGTGGAACTCAAGAAAAAGTCCTTGCACCTGGTGGATGCAAGGATAAAAGTCTGATTGCAAGTTCAGTGCTTCTGTGAAGCAGGATAATTGAGAAAAACAAGTCCGTTCACATAACAAGTAAAGCTAAACTGGAAAGTTTTAGAACTAGCATACACTGATTCCTTCTACTAAATTAATGTATTGCTCCTTAAGCAATACACTGATCCCTATTGCTAAGCCAACCTATATTAAGTTGAGCTTCAAAATAAATGCATTCACAATATCGTATATCCGTAACATAAGCACAAGAACAAATATTTGTATTGTGAATTATTTTCATTAGATTTATATCCCTATTCCTAATACGCCAAGACAGTCAAGATGAAAGGTGGCAGCAAACACCTCTCAAATGGGTTTTCCATTCCAATTTTCTAATTCAATGACTGCAGACAAATCAATACTTAGTTATACATTAAATAACAAGCTCTTATTTGTGATGCCAGTGGTTTCTCAAGGATAAGATTAAATACATGTGGTTGATTTAGGTATCAGTAAAGAAAAATGACATAAATTCCAAGACAAATATCTTCATATTCTCTGTTTTTGAAATGAAGGGCACAAAACTGTGATTGGCTAATAATTCCTCTCTCTAACCTCAACTATAATACCAAATACTTGTAATCATAAAACCTCATTAATTTACCTATGAACAAGAAAACGCCCAGACTGACAGATGTAGAATGCATTATCCCAGTAAATGACATTTCAAGAGCTGAGCTTTAGTTTTTGGAAGGCAAGCCTTATTTTGTTTGTCTTCATTAGAAGACTTCATGGTTCAGCAGAGATCTCCTGAGTTGTGCCACCCCTAGTCATCAGGGGTCGCTACTGCAATGGAATCATCCAAGACTCAGAGGAATAACATAAATCAATTTATTGAGAGCTTTCTAACAACAACTAGTACTCTACTTGAAGGTAGAATTGGCTAATTTGCTGTTAACTATTAATAAGCATTACAGGTAAGAGTATTTTGGCACAAGAGTTATATATATGCTAAAAGTTCAAAAACAATACCTAAGCAATGGATACTACAAAAAGTGAATGAATAAAAGAAGAAAAAAGATAGAAAATGGGGAAAAAGAGACAGACAAATAGACAAATATACAAACACAACACAGTGAAGTGTTTCACCTGTCCTCAGTCCAGTGATATCTTACCGTCTGAGGGGACTTTGGTAGTGATAGGTCATCCAAAGGTGTGATGGTCAGATGATGACAATGACAAATGTACACATTCTCTTACTGACAGTCCAGAGAGGTCAAGACTGCTCCTCGCAGTCAGAGTTTCTGGCTTCAGGGATCTGAGCAGGAGCTCTTCTGTTTCTATCTTCCATGCCTTACAAATTTAAATCAGCAGAGACGAGGAAGTAGGGAGACACCAGCTTGTACCTTGCCTTCACAGGATACAGTGATATCACCTCCCAGCTTTGCTGTATCAAGCTGAAAATATTTGCTCCCAGACCAAGTCTTCAGCCAGAAAAACATTTCTGAGTCTTCCCATTCAAGAGCAAACAGCTTTTGGTTCTGTCCAAAGAAATACTTATGAATGTAAAACAGTCTACAAAGTGTTGCTGATTGTCTCACGTTAATTTGAGAAAATGCATTCCTTACCAGTCTCAGACAATAAGTTCTGATCCAAAGCTCACTGCCTACAAATGAACTTCCATTGACTTCAGTAGGTTTCAAAGCCTACTTATTGTTCCCTTGAACAAAAACCATATCAGTATGTTATAAAACAAACAAACAAACAAACAAACAAAAAAGTATGATGTGCTTTACTTCTTAATGGAGTAAAGTTGATGCTCAACACAATCAGATTGAGCCTTCTATTTCCAGACTAAAATACTCTTACACATTTTAAACAGATCTCCAATTCTTCATGTATTCTTTAAGCCATTTCTTGTTACAAGTCTTATTTCCTAATGTCCTCTTTGTTCCAGAAAAATATTAGATATGAGCAATTTTCACAAGATCAACTTTCCCAAGCCCAGTCATCTACTTTCAGATCTACTAGCAGCAGCCTGCACATATATGCTCAGAAGACCTTATCCAAGGACACCTGACAGTTCCCACTTTCATGCTGGAACAATCTGGAGAACTGTAATAGAGAGAGTTTACACAACAATAGAAGATGATC